AGAGGTGATGGGGGCTGTGGCACTCTCCTATGGCCCTGGAGAGGTTTTTAATGGGAAATCAGGGCTCTTTCACTGGGGTTTAGGTTGGATTTAGGGCAGATTTAGGTTGGAGATAAGGCAGAAGCTCTTCCCTGTGAGGGTGCTGAGGCGCAGAGAAGCTGTGGCTGCCCCATCCCTGGCAGTGTTCAAGGCCAGGTTGGACACAGGGGCTTGGAGCAAGCTGCTCCAGTGGAAGGGGTCCCTGCCCGTGGCAGGGATTAAACCCCTTCCCTAAGGATACGGTGCCTATTGACCATGGACCTGAGGGGGAGGCCTGTGAAGCACTGGGACGAGCAGAGCTATCCTTGTAGCCTAAATCAACACCTGCCAACATCAGAACACCATTCCTGCAATAACTGCACCGTAGGGGAGTCCCCCAAAGCCACCTCCTGCCCCAGCCTCATCGCTTTGCTTGAGCACAGCCCGTATATTCGACTCCCAGAGGGGAAAATGCACAAGGAGGAGCTGTGTCCTGCCCCATCCCCTCTCCACGCAGAGATGGGGTCTGCGTTAGCAAAGCCTGTGTGGCGGAATTCTGCTGCTCCCTAAGGAAAAGCTTGAAATGAAGCATCTATTTTTCGATAAGACACCCAGCATCGCCAGGATTAGTCATCAAATGCTCATTGTTCCGTGCGCATTAGATTAGAACCAAACAAACGCTGATTTCAATCTCCCCCCTACTCTAAGGCTCTGATGCTTCTCAATTCAACCTTGAAACCGGCTTTTGTTCACGTTAATGGCTTTCACGCTAACGAGGCTCGGTAAGATTTAACACTTCGGCGCATCCCCTGCTTCATTATAATGGCAATTCCACCGCCGAGGGCAACGCGTTCTGGCAGAGCGGAGGCACAATGCAGGCACCAAACCTGCCTGCAAGCCCAGACCCAGCGCTGCCACACGACTGATGCTTCGGCCGGGGCATCTGGGTGCATTCGCAAGCCGAGGTTGATTTAAACGCAGCAGAAGCAGCTCAGAAACAAGTCCCTGGTGTAAATAAAGTGGTTTCTCCTTTGTGCCAAGGGGCGTTCAGAGCAGAGGCAGCGGGTTGGGCTCTCGGCTTGCTTGTGCTGCTGTTTCTGTGCATCTCCCTGTCCCTGCCTTATCAAGATGCCCTGTGCAGGACGCTCACCAGGCTGCTGTGCCTGCCCCCCCTCCCAGCACACTAGGCTTGCGGAGGTCCCTCATTGACTCGACAAGAGCTCATGCAGGCAGGGAGAGCAGGGACATCCAATTCGCCATCCCGGGGGGCGAAGCAGAACACACAAACCCTTCATGCCTGCAGTGCAGGGCAGGAGCCAAACCCACGCTGGGATGCTCCCGGGTGATTCTGGCAGGAGCTGGAGCATCGCTGGTGGCAGGACATGAGGATGAGCTCCGTGAGCCATGAGCAGTGACCCTCACCTGCCAGCCCCGCTCAGGACAAACGTGCACCACCGCCGGCTTTGTTAGAACCATGGAATGGGTTGGGTTGGAAGGAACCTTAAAGCTCCTCCAGCTCCAACCCCTGCCATGGCAGGGACCCCTTCCACTGGAGCAGCTTGCTCCAAGCCCCTGTGTCCAACCTGGCCTTGAGCACTGCCAGGGATGGGGCAGCCACAGCTTCTCTGGGCACCCTGTGCCAGCGCCTCAGCACCCTCCCAGGGAAGAGCTTCTGCCTAAGAGCTCAGCTCAGTCTCCCCTCGGGCAGGTTAAAGCCATTCCCCTTGGCCTGTCCCTACATCCCTTGTCCCAAGCCCCTCTCCAGGTTTCCTGCAGCCCCTTTAGGCACTGGAGCTGCTCTCAGGTCTCCCTTTAAGGAACCTTCCCTTCTCCAGGCTGCCCCAGCCCAGCTCTCTCAGCCTATTCTTCTAGAGAACAAAGTAATAAGTGATTTCAATACAATTTTTGCTCCTGAGAGCAAATGGAAGCACTTATGTACAGGGCACATTACCTGACTCATGCACAGTTAAGGTGCTCATTAACCTGTCCAGAAACCCTGGGACCAGCAGCAGGATGTAAAGCAACATCTATTCATGCATCTCTTCAGCCCCCTCTTCTCTCAGGGGGGAAAGATGAATCAGCCATGCAGGGAGAGAGATCTCCTGCTCCCATCTCAGCCCACCCCACCGGCTCTGTTTGCACCACCTCTGTGATGCTGGAACATCTTTGTGTGTTTTTACCAGGATGGGAGACTCCATGCCCCCATCCCCATCAGCCCTTTACACATACACAGCCCACGGGGCAGGGGAGAGCCCTCCAGCCTGCTCTTGACAACACTCTGGAGACCCAAATCCTGCAGCAATCAGCAAAGTTCCTTGTTTTCTCCTTATTTATGGGCCCGGCTGATGGCACAAGCAGCTGGAGCAGCAGAGGGAAGCCGAGCAAATGGCTTCAGCTCTGCACCCACCGCAGGAAACACCTTTTGGGCTCTAATAAACACCGGAATAAGCGCTCTGAGCGGGGCCTCACAGAAAAGCGTGATGCTACCAAGCAGGCTCTCATGTCCCCATCCCCTCCGGCCCCTTCACCCTGCCTGGTACAGCTGCGCAGCAGTGATGGGGATGAGGGTGCAGATGCACGGCAAAGCTGAACCTCTGCTGTGGGGAGGCAGAGGTGCTGGGGGTGTTTCACAGGCCGCTCCATGGCAGGGAATGCTGCCATTCCGTTGGGAGATGGTTTTACAAACACTAAGGATGAATCCCATCACCGCAGACTACACAAAGGACAAAAGAGAGATGAACGTTTCCGAAGCCTATCTGCCAGCTGAGTGTTTTCCAGCCTGGAAGGAAGTGACTGGGATTTCCCTGGAGTTCAGCTCTTCAATGCTGTCTTCTTTCTAGCGGGCCCGGATTGCCTGGGAAGAGCCTCTCCTCCTCCTGAACCGCTGGGAAACAAGCACCAAGCGAGGCCAGATGTGCAATGGCCACGGGGCCGGGCTGTCCCCGTGAGTCCCCATCCCTCTGCAGCCACTGTCCCCAGGCGCTCCACAGGGTCCCACTGCTGTCACGGACTGCTTGGGAGTGATGCGAAAAGCATCCCTGCACCAGCATTTGTGGTACCAGCGGGGGGCCCATTTTGGACCATTTCCCCCCCCACCCAGGAAGGCTTCCGTAGGAGAAAAACCAAACCTCTCCTGGGCCCGTGCGCTGAGAAGCAGCACAAATCTCACGCTCATCCATAGGCTCTGTAAACAAGCAGTTTTCCTCCCACTCTGTTTCCCAACTCCTTCCCACCCGGCGAAGCCAGAGGAAACATCCTGATGGAGCACAAAGCATTTCTGGCTCCCGGCGCTGCCCTGGGTCACTGACCACAGGATTTCACTCTCCTCCCTCCTCCAGCTCCTTGGAATAACGTTCCCCTGAGTGCAAAACGTTGCAGCTTCTTCTCAGCTTGGGAATGTTTTAGGAAACCCTGAGAGGGGGAAAACCAGTCCCTGTTCACGTGTTGGGATGAGCAGGTACCGGAGCCAGGAGCTCATCCATGAGGCTTGTTTCACATCCCATCACACATCATCGAGAAGACAGAGCCAAGAGACTTGGTTGCACCAGGGTTTTTCCAGCCAGGATCCAGCAGTGTTAAGCAGAATAAACAGGGCTGCTGTATAACAAGAGAAAGGGAGGGTGCCCTAAATCCTACCCCTCCGGAGGTAACCAGCTCTTCAATGGTAAGGAAGTGAAAAGCCACCCGGATGGGGATTGAAGAGCTGCAGGATGGCAGGGAGAAGGGTGGCTGCTGGACCCTACAGTAAGAAACTGCTTGGGAAGATGTTAAGGGGGAAAAAATCCAGGTAAAAAGGAGTGCAGGAACACCAACGTTCCTGCTTCTGTGATAGCCGGAAAACATCCTTACCAAGCCCCAGCTGGGACATGAACCACTGAAACCCATTTATCCTGGCAAACAGGACTTCTGTAAAGCAGGGAGACAGCGCCTTGCTTTCCACCCAAAACCTTCCCTGGAAATGAGCATCCGGGGGGTCCTCAGGCCATGGGGCAGCATCCCGCAGCCTGAGCTCTGGTTGCGCCTTTCCCATCGCAGCCGTTCCCTCACAGGGCCATTGGCTCACGTGCAGCTTACAGAACCACAGGGTGTTTTTTGGGGGAAGTTTGTCCCAGTTGGGGGTAAAGGGAAAAGAAGGAATTAAAACAAAACAACAGGAAGAAAGAAGAAACAAACACACCACAACCTTCTGAAGGCTTCAGGCTTCGGAAACCCGCTGCCTGCCACTGCCAGCAGCTGCCAGAGCCTGCGTGCATGGAGGTCGCATCCACCACGGGATGCGGGAGGCACCGAGCCCCCATCACCAGCCTGCCCCGTGCCCTACAGGGAGCTGGAGTCCGGACAAGCCCTTCCTTGTGCCCCAGCAGCCAGGAAGAGGGAACCCATCCCCTCAAGTGAAAGGGAGCCGTGTTCTTCAGGCGCAGGGAAGCTCAGGGAGGAACAGTTGCGACATTCCTCCCCTGCTCTGTGATGCACCCACATTCCTCAAATCTCGCCTTTTCCCCGTTTCTCCTTGGTTTTTAGCACAGACTGCTCCAGAACTGCGTTTCTTTGTGTTTTATATAATTCTGAGAGCAGCCAAAGTGACTCTGTTTGATGGGGATTCACTGTGAATCCCTTGGGAAGGCACAGGAGCCACCTGAGCTCGCACGGATGCTCACTGCACACCACAGCTCACCCATGTTCACCCAAGCACTATTTCTGTACGTTCGGCTTTTTGGGGGCTGCTTAAAGGAGTCAGCATTTCCACAAGGACAGAGTTTTCCATGGATCTGCTCTCAACTGATGTACAAAGCTTCATTGGGATATAGGGTCAAACCCTGGGAGGAGGAGAGCTGCTCCTGCACTCAATAAGGAATGCTTTCCAGGCCGTACAACTGCTGCCTGTCCCTCTGGGGTGGCTGAGGGTTTGCTGGGCACGGTACCATGTCCCTGGGCTGTTTCCATCCCTCTCCATGCCCACCGAGGTCCATCGGGATCCTCACCTGCCCTGCTCTGCTTCGCGGGCTGAGGTGCCTCCGGACACCCAGGAACGGACACAGGGATCAGAGAAACGTGGGTGCTCCTCGATCCTGGAACAAAGGGAAACCCTTTAGTTCAAGCCGCACCGCTGCTGCCTGCCCCACTGGGCATGAAGCCTGAATCTTGGCTGCACCAAATGCACTGGAGGGATGCTGGGTGCCAACATGCAGCGGGGCTGCAGCCACCGGTGCCAGTGCAGCTGCAGGCAGCTAATTCCTAATGATATTAAGATTAATTCCAGGCCCCTCACTGCGAAACTGCTGCTTAATCCCGCTGAGAGGAGGGGTTTCATCGGGCTGAGCCATCCCTCATTCACCATTGGGAATATTGAGTCTCAAAGCACCCAGTGCAGAGGCTCTGGATGCTGGCTGTTGGCATGGGGATGGCTCCACCACGCCTGCAGCCACAGGTCCTGCAGCCGTGGAATCTCCAAACATCATCCTGGTGGATGGGTGAGGATGTGGCCCCCATCACTCCGGATCTCCCCCAGCCAGTGTGCCTTGGGGCAGGCATGAGGAGGATGGAGCTGTGCCTGGACAGAGAGGCCATTATTCCCTTGGGAATTTATAGCAGCTACTGTACAGGCAGAGAGCAGGATGCTCAGGGCTGGGCTGTGCAAAGGGTTGGCAATGGCTGCAAAGGGACCCTCTGTGCATCGCTGACAGCTCAGGCTTTGGCACCCAGCACCCCTACAACTCCAGGATCCAGCCTTTTAGGTCCTTCCTGTCACCAAACCCAAGCAGCATCTGCTCTGTGACAGCGGTGCCCGGCACTGGCACCTGCCTATACCCAGTGCACATCCCCAGGATGACCCTGACCCTGATGGGGCTTTTTTGTCTGGAATGTGGCTGTTCCCAACTCTCTGGTGCAGGAGGCAGGTAAGGATTTTCCCATAAGGGTTTTTCCCAACAGGTTGTTGAGGGATTCACACAGCAGGTGGAAGAAACCAGCACTCTGAGGGGAAAATCCAGACCCACATCCCATCGGGAAGACAGGGGCTACAGTTGGCCCCCGGATGCTTGTAGGCACACCTCCCATCCCTGCGCTGAGCAGGAGCAGGTGCTTCCATGGAGAAACAGGTTGGAAACCCTTATTTTCCGGGCAGAGAGGTGGCTGTCACCCTTCACCACCCCGGTTCCCCATCAAGCAGGGTCCCTGTTGCGCTCTCCACCTCCTTGCCACAGCAAGACCCCAACCTGGGCTCAGGTCTGAAGGGTTTAGCCCTATTGAACCCTATTTCCCTACTGCCTTCAACTCAAGCACCATCTTCGGCTGCTCCAGCCCGGCCTCAGCCCAGTTTTGCTCCCAAGGCTCTCCCCAGTGATGCTCAGGGCTCTGAGAGCCGCAGCGAAGGGGCTTTGCCAACAGCTCTGCGATGAACAAAGGAGCGCGGGGTTTCTGGGAGCCGAGCCTGGCGCGGGAGCGATGGGATTCATGGATCTGGGGGGGGCTCCGGCACGTAGGCTTTGCTGCTGCCAGGTTCGGGGGATGACACACTGAGTCGGGAGATGGGAATCCGGGATCCGATCCTGGCCGTAATGAATTGAACTATTCAGCGTTTGGTAAAATTTCCATGCAAAGAAGGAGGAGAAGAGGGGGGCTGACCCCGCGCTGCCTCTGCAGGGTATGAATTACAGAGCCCGGCCAGCCTGCTGGCCGCAGACAGGCGATGTTAGAGCGCCAGATTAATGCTGCATTGAGTCGCAATTAAAACTCATTGCAAAGCTGCAGGCCAGACAAGTTGCCTTTGATGAGAGCAATGCTGCTTGAAACGGGAGCTTCCATTTTTAGGCTCAAAGCAGCCCGTTATGCTCGTCCCCAGCCCTCCAAAGCTAAAGATCAGGGAACATCCACGCTGTTGGAGACAAGGGGGTTTGTTCTGTGCTTCACGAGCAGCTCAGGGCTGAGTGCCTTGTTCCAGCCCGCTCCAGCTGGTGAGCAATGTGATCCCCTTGCCTCCTTCCAGCCCTGGCACCATTATGTGATTGCCACCCATCACGTGCTGCAAAGGAGCTCCTCCAGAAGAGCCAGCATCCTCCCTGCCTGCCTCCAATCCCCCTCAGGAATCCACTTTGCACCATGACTTATTCGTGTCTGGGCAGCCCAAATGAGGGAGGCTTTTCCTACCGCCACATCGCTGAAGGACAGGGATTTTGGAGCAGCAAGAAGCCCCACTACTCCCCCATCCACCTTCACTGCTGCCTCTGTGGCTCGCTCCCACCGGGAAGAGCATCTGCCCTTGATCCCAGCACTGTGCCAGCAGCTCGGCTCTGCATAGACCAAGAGTTAAAGGAGCCCTATTGTTCTGAACGCCATGGGCAAAATCCCATGTAAGAATAAATGCATTAATCTAGAGATGTTCATGCAATTAATCGAATTTATTTTCTAGACATGTTGGCTATCCAGCACCTAATCCATTACCTGGAGTTTTATTACTCTCGTTTGGAGTCAGTTCTCAAGCACCAGAGCACACAGAGTGCTTCATCGAATTCGTCTTTATCAAACCACCTAGAGAAGGCTTCACCCCTTCTTTCCTTGGCAATAAAGTCAAGCTGGGCTTGCCTTGCTGCTGCAAAGCCATTTCCCCTGATAGCATGGCCCAGTGCCTCCAATCGAGCTTCCTATTGATTGAATCAGTATCAGCTTTTCCACGGGATCAGCATTTGCCCCAGACTATTTAAATCTGCCCTGATCACCAAGCAGAGGACACCGTGACTTGCCATCAGGAGCATCATGGCATTGGAACCACGCCATCTCCATCAAGGGCCTCTGCAGTAACTGCTATTTTACCTGGCTTAGAGCATCCTTCATTTAGTGTGATCATGACAGGCCATGGTTACAGTTTCCTCTCTGACTTTTTGGCTTCCTCTGCTGGCTGAGCTATGAGGATGAGCTGTTATCTCGGCAGCGTGGCTTTAATGACTTAACACCAATTAATACACGGTAAAGCATGGGATAATTCACCATGGGGCCTCCCGGACACATCCACTTTTAAACTGCATCTTCCATGTAAACCCTCCGGTCATTTGAAAACTCCATTCCCCAAATGCACCCCCCCCCCCAGGCCCCAGTAACGTGTGTTCATGGTTAATTCTATTTAGGGCTTTGGAAACCGCCTCTGGTGATGGGCGGGAGCTGGAAGCACCATTGATATCCCAAGGGACTTCTGCCATGCCTCTGCCTGCCAAAGCACACCCGGCGCAACCCATGCTCCGAGGTTCAATTTGCCAAGCTCCTCCCCGGCCACAGGATTCCCACTTGGGTATTCCCAAAGAGCCCGTTAGCCTTTGGATGGCAAGTGAATGGGGAGAGCCCAGCGTGGGTTCTTCGCTCCCGCTTTGGCTCTCCATCCTGTAACTCACATCCCGAGCCCTGCCTGGCTCCGTGCTCTTCCGCACGAGGAGAAGCTCATCCGGGATGAGGAATCACTCACCCAGCCCTGCTAAAGCAGGCACCTGCCGTGGGACCTGACCTGTCAGCACTCTTTGCTGTTGCTCTTGCAAGCAGACTGATTTAGCTCCATCACATTTGGGCTGCTTTGGTGTTTGCAAGCAACAGAGACCAAACCTGAGCCCCAGGCCCTCGCAGGACCAGCTGCAGCAGGGATGAAGTTGCCCCTGATGCCTACAGCATCTTCTCAGCTGATGCCTACGCCACCACCTTGCTGGCTCGTAATGCCATGCCATACAATGCAGCAGCGTGCTTTGCCATGCAATGCAACACCCTGCCGTGCCACGATGCCAGGGGAGCGTTGCAGGGTTTGGGCAGCTCCCTGAGCACGAGGCGTGGGCTCTTCCTGCATTTCCATCGGCCTTCCTCCATCTGTTTATCACCCGTGTAAACTCTCCTGGGTAGCAAACTCCCCCGGCAGAGCGAGGTCTGGGATGCTGCCGCTTGCTTGCACTTCCTCCTGTGGGAGGGAAGGGGGTGGCTTGGGACAGGGATGCAAACAGCTTGTTGCACATCCTGACAGCAGATATTCCTGCCCCCTTCTTCCCTTCCAACCCCCCCACCAAGAGAAGCATTCCATGCCTCCCCAGCTCTGCCTGGCGTCAGCACCCACACTTCGTTCTCAAACCAGTTTTTCCCTAAGGATCAATTGCTCGGGAATACTGGCAAAGCCTCTGAAATCCTGCCCATGGCTCCTGTTTCCAGCGTGGGAGCAGTTGCAGGAACGCTGTAGATGCCTCCCCCTGAGAGCACTGGGATCTGTGGGCTGTACTGGTGTTAGTTGGACACCTGCTGCTGGGCAGGGTGCAGACCCCCGAAGTCCCCTTCACCTGCCCCACTGTGGGAACACACACATGATTCCTGGTCCCCAAACCCTCTTTTCCCCCATAACCTTGGGTCACTGGACTCTTCCCTTTGCACTGAGTCCTGGCAGCCAAAAGCACATGGAAAAGCATCTCCTCTCCCACACGTGCTTGTGCCACTCTCTTCTTCCCACACCACATCCACCTGGGTACTATGGGAAGGACGAGCAAGTGAAGGACACATTCACCACCTCGGTGCTGGGGTCCATGCCTGTGGCCTGATGCTGTGGCACGTCAGACGCTGCTCTTGACATCAAGACAGTCCATATTACAGGAAATAAAGTTTATAGGGTGCATTAGAGCTTTACAGTGCTCGAGCAAAAGCCTGCTTTGTGCACATGACATGGATCTTCCCATTTTGCACCCCCATTCCCTGAAATCCAACAGCAGGCTCCTTCCCCATCCTACTGAAGGTGCTTTCCCTTCGCCCTCCGGCCCTTTCTCAGCGTAGCTCTGAATAGAGCTATTTGCACTCAGCAAAACTCCAGTTAATGAGCACTACAAATTAGCCAGCCTGGCTTAAAACCACGACACTTGATGCCAGTTTGTAGTTCCTGTAACCCAATTGACCTTTGGGGTCCATCCATCCCTCCCTCTTTCCCTCCACCCCTCCCTCAGCACCCAGACAAGCTGGAAACACGCTTTGTCTTGAACGCAGATGCTGTGGGACAGCAATGGATGCAGCACGGGGTGCTTGGAAACACACAACAACAAATGCAAACGCTGGTGGCGGCCCAGCAAAAGCCCAGCAGGCAAAATGCAAGTTATTTGTTAAGGATAATGATGGGAGAGAAGGATTCCTCCCCTTCACTGGGGAGCCTGGGCATGCTCTCCAGGCTCTTTGGAGTGAGGAGGGCTTGGGTCAAGCAGGTCCAGCGTGGACTGCTCTGCTCCCCACGGCTCCACAGCCCAGAGGCGGCCCCTTCCCTCTGGATGCTGCCATTCCGTTCCATGTCGTACTAACCCAGCTCAGGGCTCTGGACCACCCTGAACACAGCATCCCCCTGGCACAACCTCGGCGCAGCGATGTGGGCGCCCGGCAGCTCCCCATCACCTCCCACACCCACCAGCTCTCTTGGGGGGGAATTGCTCAGCCCCTCGCACCCCGCAGCCCCCCCCCCCCACTCCCAGGGTGTCCGTCCCCCCACTCCCCAGGCCAGCAGCCACCTGTAGAGGCTCAGGGTCGGGGCACCAGCAGCGCTGGCAAGCGGCCCCAAGTGGGGCCACTCCGTGTTGGAGGGGGGCTCCGCTCGCCCCGGCCCCCCCGGGTATAACCTCCAAGGGTTAAAAATGCAGCACAGCAGCGAGCCGGGGGGGAGCAGGAGGGAGAGGCAGGAAAACAATAAACCACGATGAAATAACGTCATAAATCAGTGCAAACGAACACAAATGGGTGATAAATAATAAGATGAATAATAATAGAAAATAAGTAATGAAGTAGCAAAAGTAAATATAATTAAATAATAAAAATAAAACAGAATAAAAGAGATTAATAAAAATATAATAAAGGATAAAAATTAAATTAAATAATAGAATAACGGAAAATAATAAAATAACATAAAAATAGAAATTAAAAATACAATGCAAATACAGTAAAATTAAATTAAAATAAAAGGAATGAAATGAAAAGTAAAATGAAATAAATTAAAATTAAAGAAAATGAAATAAAATGAAATGAAATAAAATAAAATAAAATAAAATAAAATAAAATAAAATGGAATTAAAAGGAATTGGCCCCGCTCCGCTCCCCTGCGCGGCACCTTGCGGGCGGCCAGGACCGCGCAGTGGGTGTCAGGGCTGAGGGCCGCGCAGCAGCGAGCCGTGGCGGCCGGTCCTTACCTTGGTGACAGTCATGCGGTAGGCGGCGGAGGGCTCGGGGAGCTCCGCGGGCGGCGGGAGATGCGCGGCGCGGAGGGAGGAGGAGGAGGAGGAGGAGGAGGAGGGCGGGTATAAAACAACGAGGAAAAGGCGGCTCGGGAGCGGGAGCCGCTGCGCTGGGAGCGGGGCGGGACACGGGCAGGGACCGGAGCGCGGAGCCCGAGGCCCGGAGCCCGGCACCGCCCGCCCGGGGGAGCCGCCGCAGCCGTCGGTGCTCGCGCGGCGGTGATGTCAGCCCGCGCGCCGTGACGGAGCTTGGGGGGGGATCGAGGAGGGGGGGGCACACACACACACTTCCCGTTGTTTAACTCTTCGCCATCCCGAATTCCCGAACCGTTCCCGTTCCCGCACCTGCTGCCCGCCCCCCCCCCGGCGATGCGCAGTGACGGGGGGAGGCCGAGGTGACCGGTTAGAGCCGCGCTCACACGCTGGGCGCGCAGCGGGTCTCCTGCCGGCGAGGCGGTGTCGGTGGATGCGGGCTCCCGGCACCGCGCAGAGGACGGGCTGCGGGGCGGCTGCAGCCCAGGCGCCGGCTTCCTGCCGCGGGAGGTGGGGATGCGCTGCAGGGTTCGCACCTTGCTGCCTGGTCCCTCGCCGAGTAGGGGGCTATAGCATCCGTAAGGGTCCTGTAGCATCCGTAAGGGTCCTGTAGCATCCCTAAGGGTCCTGTAGCATCCCTAAGGGTCCTGTAGCATCCCTAAGGGTCCTGTAGCATCCCTAAGGGTCCTGTAGCATCCGTAAGGGTCCTGTAGCATCCGTAAGGGTCCTGTAGCATCCGTAAAGGTCCTGTAGCATCCATAAGGGTCCTGTAGCATCCGTAAGGGTCCTGTAGCATCCGTAAAGGTCCTGTAGCATCCATAAGGGTCCTGTAGCATCCGTAAGGGTCCTGTAGCATCCGTAAGGGTCCTGTAGCATCCGTAAGGGTCCTGTAGCATCCGTAAGGGTCCTATAGCATCCGTAAGGGTCCTGTAGCATCCATTACGGTCCTATATCATCCATAAGCATCCATCCATGTGCTTGTTTCCCTTCACATACCAGGTTATTTGTATTTTTTCCCCCTATTACTGGCAGTGACAAGTGACACAAGAATTTTTTCCTCAGAGCTCGCCTCAGCCTCCCCTCTGGCAGGTTAAAGCCATTCCCCTTGGCCTGCCCCTACAGGCCCTTGTCCAAAGCCCCTCTCCAGGTTTCCTGCAGCCCCTTGAGGCACTGGAGCTGCTCTCAGGTCTCCCCTTCAGGAGCCTTCTCCTCTCCAGGCTGACCCAGCCCAGCTCTCTCAGCCTGGCTCCAGAGCAGAGCTGCTCCAGCTCTCTCCATGTCCATACCCATGGCCTTGCGCCCTTCATGCCCTTGCTCCAGCCACAAACACAGGAATTCCCTCATGTTTTTCAAGATCCATATCCCTGGAGATGAGAGAAGCGCTACCTGGAGCAAGCAGCATTTTAGCTCCTGTCTCCCGGTGACAGGGGAATGAAAGCAGCAGGATACAGCCCCGGCACCGAACTCTCCAGCCGTTAGATGAGATATTGCACCCATTTATTGTACTACTGCTGCATTACGAATACTTGAGGCCCATAGCAAGCGCATTGCCAGGTCCCCTTAAAGAAAAGGACTCTGCCAATAAACAAAGGATTTCCTTCTCATAAGGGGATTATTGAGCCAAGAGTCTGATGAGAGATCAGTGAGGTTTATTCCAGTGCCGAGCCTCCCCACAAAACATCCATGGATCTGGTACCATTGAGCCAAGAGCTGTAACAAACTGCCTGTTCCTCTGATATTCATCTAAACCCCAACACTGGTTTTAAAGCTCTGGGTGAGCTGGGCTGGAAACTGTGAGCAAGGTTAATGCAATTAATGTAAGGCTAATGACATCAGCCACCTCTAATTCCCGATCCACCCAGCGATGACCTCTTCCCAACAAAAAGCCCATTTTCCTGGGAGCTGGGGATGGAAGAGGAAGGCTCCATGGGGATGGAGATGATGCTTAAAACTAAGCAGAGCTTGGGAAGTGACCAACATGGGATACTGAGGCTCGAATAAGCCTCAGAGGAGCTGACGTGTTCCGGCTGCCGCCGCTTGTGCCACGGAAGCAGCAGCACCCGGAGCCTGCTGTGCCTCCTGCATCCATCTGGGGCCACTGGGATTAATTAACACCAATTAGCTAATTAAACAACCCGCTTGGAGCAGTGAACTAGGACATCTGGGGAAGGTAGGGTGAGAAAGGGAAGGCTGCTGGGAAGGCACGGGATCCCATGGATGGATGGATGGATGGATGGATGGATGGATGGATGGATGGATGGATGGATGGATGGATGGAGGATGCAGCCACTCGGCCTCCCCACATCTTGCATCCCCCAAGCCCCAAATGCTGCTGCTGGGGGATGTTGGGAAGGGCTGGGACCCCCTTTCAGGCAGTAGATGGAGTGGAAAGGGCAGGGGGACACAGGATTCTCAGCCCTTTCTGGGAGCAGGAGGGATGCTGGGGCAGTTCAGCCATTGCTGGGGTGGGAAAGGAGGATTTTGCAGCACCAGTGCATGAGTCCTGGAAGAAAATGGCATTGATGGATGCATGAAGCACGGTGGAGAGCTGGAGGGGGCCATAGATGTGCCCCATAGCCAGGAAAATACCGCAGGCTCCTTGTTTCACCAGTACAGCACAGCAATTCCAACCCCAAATCATTCAGCCTTTGGCAACCTGGAAAGGATTTTATTGTATTTTGGATCAATATTAAGCCAGTGATAAGGCTCGGGGGCTTTTCTATTGGGGTTTTGCTTTGAAGGTTTGTTGGGACCCCATTAAGGCTCCAGACTGGACTTGGGGGGCCAAAGAGGTCCTTTTGTAGCCCTGCAATGACAGCACCCGCTCCCCTGCTGCAGCCCCAGGGAAAGGGAGATGCTCAGAGCATGCAAAGAGTTGAAATCTCCTTCTGGCACTGGAAACAGCAGAGGAAATCATCATCAGACACACTGCATGGGGAGGATCACTCGGTCCTCATCCTCTCGGGAATGTGTCTCTGGTACCCCAGGAGGACGCCTATGGGGTGGACAACAGGAATACTCCTATAGGGCAGGATCAGGACGCGCTGCAAAGAGCTGTGGAGCAGAGCCCTTGCTGGAGGGAGCCGCAGTTCCCACCTGGAGATGGAATTTCCCACCGGCACCATGGTCCTGGGTGATGGTGGGAGCGGAGCTGCCGCGGTGGGAGGGGACCTGGGTGGGTTCAGGGCTCCGGGGTGTCTTGGGCTCCCTCTCCTGGCTCTCTGAAGGTAGAATTGCTGCATGCACGAGGAGGGGAAGCTCGCAAGCCTTCGGGCGCACCCTGCGGGGACAGGGTGGAGGATGCAGGGGGACCCCAGGGACCCTGGATGGGGGGGAAGCGATAGTGAACGTCGCTTTAGGCGGCTACAAGCCCATCACCGTCGCGGCAGCAAAGCGGACCCAGGCAGAGGGATGCGCAGGGGGCTGAGCTGGGCTGATTAACAAATCCCCCCCCCCCCAAAGGCAGGCTGGAGGGGGGAATCTGGGCGCCCACCTCCCTCCCTGCTCGCAGCATCTGCAGCCCATGCGTGGAGCAGGGCTGCGCTTCCGTCCTTCGTGCCCTGCGCTCGTCTCACGCCTCTGTCTGTGCGCTCAAGTGACCGGCGCTGCTGAGCGGGAGGAAGGAGATGCTGCTGCCTCCTCGCTGGATGGGATGCACTGGAAAAACTGGAGCCTGCCTGCCTGGCTGGGCTGGGCTGGGCTGGGCTGTGCGCATGGGATGCGGGAAGAGCGCGGTTCGCGATGCCTCTGATCGGGAGCTTTGGGATACATAACTACAGGCGCATGTCGCTTCAGAGCAATACACCACCGTGCTCCTGAGTGAAATACTGCCGGAGCCAGCCTGAATTGTGAGTCTGGAGAGACCTCCCCAGCCCATTCCTCACTACTGACCCACGGCTATGGGGCAAGCCGCCAGGCTGAGCTGGTTATACCACAGATGAGTTTTAGCCCTTCACTTGATGAAACTCTTGGAAAGACACAACTCCATCACACCAGGCAGGCTGTGGACATGTGAGGATGATAATGGAGCCACGCTGTATCACGTAATTCCTGTGTCACCAGAGAGCCCTGCCTAAGAGATGATTCATGAATGGAGCTGGCCAAGTGGCTTGCTGCAGGATGGCTTTGCTCTGGGGATGCAGGTCAGGCCCCAGATCTGCACAAGACAGTCAGGAGATGGAACTGCTTGGTGCTTAGGGCTGGCTGGGGAGCTGTAGGGATGGATCACGACCAGTGCTCCCATCAGATGTGGTGATCCTGATGCTGCCACAAGTCTTCATATCCCCCAGGACCATGCTGTTCCTCAGCAATGCCATTCCCTCCAAAATGAAGGGTGCATTAGCAAATCCTTCATTCTTAAGGAAAGATCCACCGAGCTGGTTCCTTGCTCCATCACAAATGAGTTATAGCTCTCAGAGATGCTCCCATTGCTGAACTGGTGGAGTAGGGCAGCCAAAGCTGAGCGCGCTGTTTGTGCTGGCTAAAGTTACGTTGAAATAAATATAGCATAGACACTACCTCCAGTCTGTGCATGGCAAATCGTCCTGGATTATCCCCAGAGTTACTGCAGCTGTGAATTATACAGAGGTTCATGTTTGGATTCCATAGTGGGTAATTTATAGAGAAGGCCAGGGACGGGCTTTCATCTGCTTTGATGGAAGTTCGTCTGGAATAACAATACGTGGTAGAACCTGGCACTTGGACCTCACTAAAAACTGAAGCCCTTCTACTTGAAAGCAAGATGTTTCCATTTAAAACCACTGTTAGCAGGAACAAACATCTCTCTATTACTGACTCCCTTCTCTTCCCCTCCTCTGGAGTCATCTGGTTCGGATTAGTCCTGGATAAGGTCCCATTTTTGCTCAGGGAAATGGGAGGGGAACTTGGAGCTATTTCTACTCATTTCAAGAATGAACTGAATGCGGTGCACAAATGAAAACGCGATGAGCTCCAGCAGGCGAAGGCAATCAAAGGGACATGGAAGCTCCTCCGGGTGGAATATCGCTCCGAACGGCACGGGAGATGGATGGTGGGAGCTCGGTTTCCCACCTCAAATCAGTGCCCTCGGTCCCCACTTCCCAGATCACCACCAAACTGGTGGCAGTGACCCCTGCAAGGGGGACGCTGTGGTTGAAGTGTGGGTTGGGGGAAACCCAGTTTGGTCAGGCCAGCCCCAGGGTCTGGGGCTCCCAAACTGCTTTCCTGGC